TTCAGCCCCGTCCCTTACCGAGGGTCTGCGCTGCGGGGCGCGGGCTGGCGCCTCCCGGTCCCACCGCTGCTCCTCCAGCGGCACTTCCATCGGCTCCTCCTCCGCTCCGCCTGTCCCGCTCCCATCGCTCGCCGTGCCCGCATCCCTTTCCCATCGCATCCGGTACCCCGTGCCTTAAGTCAGCGCATTTTGACTTCTCCTGATCATGTCCCTGTGTTCTCTTGCCTTTCCCCCACCTCTTGTGCCGGTGCTCCGTCCTCTTGCTTCACCATCGCAAGAAGCGCAGCTCTTCACTGAGCAGAGGGCACAAGCCTCTGGATAGGTCGCTGCTTTGGAGAGCAGAAGGAAAGCCAAGCTTTACCTATTTGAAGTGACGGCTCCCTTTTGTCTGTTTTTTACTGTCTCCTTCAGATGTTAAATGTTTGATTAAACTCTTTTCCAAAACCCCTCCTGATACAAGATCCGTTTTCCAGTAGCAAGGCAACCAAGGCGTTGTAAAGCTCTTTACCTGACATTCCAGGAATTCAAAGCATCCTTTACACCAACGTAAAGCACAACGTCTTTTCTGCAAAAGATTTGGAAAGTGGGGCATTCCTTGCTTCTAAATTTTAATTACTTTTCACTGACTTTATCAGGGAAATGAGAGGACATTTAAAAAGGATTGGCTGGCCAGCCTGCATATAGCAGGTTGCAACTCAGCCTCGGTTAGTTCTGACCAAGAAACTGTCACCAGCTAATTGCTGGCATTTTGTGTAAAATGCTGGCTTTGGGGTATAACCCACTCAGCTCAACAAGGCAGCTATTAACGTGAGGAAAGAAAAAGAAAACCAGAAAATCGATGCAACCTTTAGTATACATTTCATTATACAGAAACCACAGGAAAGAAACTTGAGTTGAAAGATACAGAGCATAAATTGGTGTATGAGTAGTCCTCCTGACTTCACAAAGAATATTTTTTGATAAATAAAGTGTTAGTTAAATGTTTGGTTATGCCCTGTAGGTGTAACATGCTTTTCAGAAAGAAAACAGCTTTCTTTCCAAAAAAACTGTGATCACCACAAAATAGTTGCTTTTGTTGGTTTACTTTCCAAACATCTTCAGATTGAAAAGGACAGCTTCTCAGGGAGAGAAACATAACTGCTGGAAATCATTTCAGTTTTATGAAATCATATAAGGCAAGTTTATAGAAACAGTGGTTTCACATACCCTTATTCAATGTGGTGTGTGTACTTTCTACATTTTTCTTGTCAAAATGCTACTGGCTTATAGACTACTTTGAGGCTTTTCTTTTTTATTCCTTTAAGAATAAATAGAACGATTTTTTTAAATTCTTTTTTTGTATTCAAAGGAATTGTGGCAATGTGATAATAAGTAGCATTTTAAAACTCAGATGTTATTGTGGGCCCCTCTATAAACATTTAGGAAGTTCAACAGAAGGATGCACTTTCAAGTATACTTGCTGAGTATAGGAATTTTTCATGAACAGCAGCGTTTCACTCTGTTGATGTTGCATGGGAAAGAACTGCGATGTTTTCACAAAACCTATCAGTAGAACCAATGTTAGAATTATTTAAGAGGTGCTATCCAGTTCTGTAATAACATGACATGAAAATAACTTGAAGTGATTCAAAATGAGTTTCAATTTTTCATGCTACAAAATTTCTCCCTTCTCCCACCCCTGCCTTTTCTCAGACGAGAGAGAAGTTCATCTACAGTACTGTAGTACTGTACAGTACTGTTCATTTCCACGCTCATTTTGGTTTTCTCCTGATGTTGCATGTTTAGTCAGCTGGTTGTCATGCCCTTTTATTGTCATTGCCTTGCTTTCTCATTTCCACTTCCCCATGTGCAAACAGCATTCATGGCCTGCATCTTTACAAAAACGTGCTCCAAAGACATGTTTCCTTACAGTGACTTCCCCCCTTCCTACTCCCTCTTGACTTGAAGAGGTAAAGAGCCACAGATGGCCTGAATAGAAGGTCCTGAAAGGAAAGCAGCACTGAGCAGTTTCCACTCACTGCAGCTCATGACTTGTCCATTAAAATTCTACACTAACAAGGCCAAGAGACTGTAAACACCTACATATTTACCAGAAATAGAAATGTTTACTACTTTAATTATTTTTCTAAATGTTAGCAGTTAAATATTGTCGAGGTCTTCTACTGTGCTTTCTAATTTCATTTTTATGACCTGACAAATATTTTAATGGCAACAGTAATTGTGCTGAGTTGTCACTGCTTAAGAAAAATACTATGGGGTTCTTTATCTCTAATACATTTATTGGACCTAAGTGACTGGACTTGAATTTATATTGGCTTCACATGATTTCTATGAACCTTCACTGGAAACTAGCTATTTTCTTTACATTATTTTTCCATAACCCTTGTGCCCATCCCTGGAAGTGTTGAAGATTAATAGTGGGGCTTTGAGCAACGTGATCTAGTGAAATGTGATCCTGCCCTTGAGAGGGGATTAGAATTAAGGTGGTCATTAAGGTCCCTTCCAGCCCAAGGTTTTCTGCGATTCATTTGTTTCTTTTTCACTTAGATTTTCTCAAATAATTTGGAAGTTTTCCCTGATAGTGCTATGGTACCACAAGTTTTTCAATAAGAACATTTCAAGGTATGCCCTATCACTTTTTTTTTTGTACTCTACTGTTGTAATTTCTTAATTTTCATTTCTTCACTTTGTTTTTATATCAATCAACATTAAAGAAAAACAGGTTTCATATGGTGTGTCTACAGCTACTTTTAATTTGCAAGCCATTAAAATTGAAACTGATGGTTTCAATTCAGACCTAAAAATGACAATTTTTTACATTCAGTAATACTTTACTGAATAGAAAATTTTTAAAGAGCAATTATGAAAATTCTTGTATTTTTCATTCATTTTCAATTTCTACCTATTTTGAACCCAAAAGTAAAACACTGGAGAGTTTGATTGCATTTTTTAAAATTATGTCTGAATGTGAAAATATATCTGAGAGCTTGAATAAGTCGTCGATTTTCTTGCTCTGTTCAAGAGATGTGGACAAGTAAAAGCTACACTGAACAAAATTTCTCATCTGTCTTGCTTTTCAGCACAATTCTTGTATAAAATGTCAACAAGAATAGCAATAGAATTGTACTGAGAACTCCCACTGTAATGCTCTAGCTTTGTACTTAATTTTTTAAGTAGTTCCTGAGCATTTGTTTGGCCATTCAGCTATTCAACTGTACACTTTGAAGCAGTAAAAACTTTTGATAGACCCCTTGAAATATTTCTAATGGTTTTGGCTTAAATAAAAAGTGTTGTGTGAGAAACAAGACAAGTACACAGATTCCTCAAACAGTACAAATATCAAAATCAGACTTTTTCTATTATGACTTTTTCTTTAAAAAATCTTGAAGTATGGGCTAAAGTTCAAAAATATCTAAGTTACTTTACTCACACTAAAGTGTTCCATTTGTATGTCAAGATTGCTCCATATAAACAGTGAGTGAGCTAATGTTTAAATCCAGAAAAAGACAGATTGATTACACTGAATTAATGTCTTAGTCCATACAGACTTTTCTTGCAACATTGTTTTGCAGAGCCTGTTGGAGAACAGAACCTAGAAGTTAAAAATACTGGTTTCCTTCTTTCCAGTTAATCAATGGGTCACAATTTTTTACTATCATTCTCATTTAGGATATAGTACAACCAAAAATGTGATTCACTTATTATAAACAGAGAGAAGGAGAGACTGTTTCCAACAGTTTATGAACTCATGGTCAAAACTAAAAAGCAGCTTCCATAAGGAGAGACTTAGAGGGTTTTGCTTCTATCACAGAAGTAACATTTTTATTTAGGAAAAAAGAGACCTCTGTAGGTGCTTGAAAAGCCCCACATTTCAGCATGTAGTGTAGACAATGAAAACATAGTACTGTTATGCAAATAACAGCACATTCTTGTAATGTTACAATTTTTGGAGACATGTCTTTCCATGGTTGAATCTCTATTCTGTAAAAATTTAGACCCCCCCAGTTAGTAGGCTGAATTTCACTTACATTTGGGTGGCAGCAGACATTAAATATGCATTTCTCAGAGATCATGATTTAGGAGTAGCAGCTAAGTCATGGAAGCACTCAGCATCAGGAATATGATTTGATGGTAACTGTTCACATCTGAACCTGGTGATTAGGCTTCTACAGTCAGAGTCATAGATGTCTGTAGGGACCATTTTTCTGGAGCTCTTCAGTCACTTTTTGTCTTATTAAAGACATAAAGGACTTCTTTGATGTGAAGCACTCAAAGAGCCATGATTTTTTGGCAGTGCAGTGTCGATGCCTAAATGAAAAGGTATGAATAGAGTCCTAAATCCTTAAAATGCAGTATCAATATTCTCTACTACATTGTTTAAAATCATAGTTTCAGAAACTGCACTGTAAGCATACTTTCATTTCCTCTAAGCAAGGGCATGCCACACTGTAATTAATCCCTGGGGTCTGTTATCAGGTGCTTTGTTAGCTTAAGCTAAACCATCAGATTTACTAAAAGCTATCAAAACTATTGGTTTACTAAATGCAAGGGTGTATTGAAACATACTGTAAGTGCAAAAGGGATTGGCAAACAGCAAGGTATGTGGCAAAGAAGGTAAGCAATAGAGTTGTAAAAGGAGATGAGGGAGAGGAAGCTAATCACAATGCATGTTACATAATTTTCTGCTCTCAGGTGCTAAAGTTCCCACAGGGATAATAGCAATATGGGAGGTGCAGTGGGCTGTGAGACACTTTTATCTTTATGAATTGTCTAAAGGGAGGAAACAGATCGGTATTGAGTTACAGTCACAAAAGTGGTAGCTGGTTCTGCTACAGGAGTCATATATTTTCTTTATTGTTCTGTGTCTGTTTATGTTTTGGCTAATGCTCACTGAAATGCAAAATATAATACACTTGTAGCTAAGCAAATAAGCAGGAGCATGAGAAGTGAAAAAAAGATAAAAAGAAAAAAGAAGCTTTCTGCTTGTATGTCTCACAGAGAATGTTATTGCTTGCAGGGGGACATTCTGAAAAACTTTCTCAAGTATTTTGTCAATGAATGCATCATCTTGAGGTATCAAAGGGCACATGCTACACTTTCTTCAAGGCCTAGCTGGGGGACTTTTACCCAAAGCAGGTCCAACTTCAGAAAAAAGAAAT